ATCACGAAAATGACCACCGCTCTGGGCTTTAAGGATTTTTCCAACGAATCACCCGCGCGATGGCCAATGTCTTTGGCAAAGCCGATGAGGAAGACGGCGAAAATGACAGACACGGCGCCGATGGTGATGAAAGGACGGCGGCGGCCGAACCGTGAGGTACAGCGGTCACTGTAGTAGCCTACAATGGGTTGCACGATGAGGCCGGAGAGGGGTCCACAGAGCCAGATGAAAGAAGCCCATGCGTGGGGAACCCCAAGGGTCTGTACATAAGGGGTCAAAAGGGAAAGTTGCAGAGCCCATCCGAACTGTACACCGGCGGCTATGGCCGCAACAGTGATAATCTTCCTAATGGAGCTTGGAGACTCAGCAGCAGCAGCAGCAGGAGCAGCAGCAGGAGCAGCAGCAGTGGCGGTAGCTCCGTTCTCCATATTGCTATGGCACTCACACTCTACCTGGCCAAAGCAAAGATTTGTACTATAAATGTTATCCTTTATTTTGCTTTCGATTATTGTTCTTTATTTTCTTTCTTCATTCAAACATGAAGAATGTTAGTCATTTTAACAAGGAAAAGTTAAGAAGAACATCTTTTTACTTTCGTCTTTTGTATGAAAAAAAATTCCATTAAATAAAAATAAATGGTTCCTATATGGTTACTTTGGTCCGTCTATTATTGAACCGTAAAATTAGAGCCTTTAAATGATATGAAATTCTTAATTTTGTTTAAAGTTATGACACAATACATCAACATAAAACAAACTTTTACTTTTTCATTTCTTTTAATCATTCAGTAGTAGAATAGACATTAGTCATCATCATATTATAATTTAGAAATTGCCAGGGAAGATAAGCTTTTTGATAATGTCCAAACTTTAATCTTTCGCGAACAAACGAAACAATCTTTGATAATATAATATATCCATGGAAGATTGAACGAATGTTAGTAAGGTAGCGTGCATTAATGTTCATAGGAGGGGGAGGCGCTTATGTAAATTATGACTTACCAGCTGTTGTTGAAGGAGCTCTCAGCAGCTTTAGTATTCGCAGAGTCTTGTTCTTGTTCTGCACACTATTATGGTTGGCCGTTGCAACTATCTCAAACTTTCAAGCAACTCTGGTTTTTATGATACATATGAAGAGTTTTGGTGTTCAGGTATGACATATATATTAGTGGAGAGATGAGGAAAGAAGAGGATGATGGAAATAGAAAGATATCAGGAGGAGATATATGGAATTGAATATTAGGAGGCGGAATAACAAAAGTATTACAGAAAATTATTGTGGACGGAGATTCAGTTCACGTATTACATATCCTTTCCCTTTTATTAAAGACAAAGGGAATCTATTCTCTGTGGCTCTATGCTGATAAATGGTCCTATTTTTTACACATATAGATGCTTTACTGCAGTAGCATGAAGGGAATATATTATCCCCAAACAGCACATGCCTTATGGTTTGACAGCCTGATTTATAATTTGGAATGAACGGATAAGAATTTAATTTGATGAAGGAACGATCTATATCCTCAAGTGTTACGTCTAAGATGGAGATATCTAAATTAAAAAATTAGACAATCAAACCATGATTAGTGGGTCAAATAAATAATTTCTATATCTCTTTTTTCTTTTTTTTTTTCTTTTTTTTTTTTGGTTGGGGGAAGGGGGGGTGGGTTGGCCGGTTGGGAAGGGAAGTGGTGGGTGCAGGCGGGCGGGTCAGCCTCTTCTTGGTCCTATTGGATTCTGTCCTTGTTTGAGATGGAATTTTTTCTTGAGGTGGATGTAAAAGAGATGTCCTGGGGTTGAGCACCAACAAAACCCCTCATGATGGTGTTGTTAGAAAATGGAGATGAAAACGAAAGGTTTACAGGATTCTAGGCATGGAGACATGGATGGTATAATGCGTAAAATATACTTGCTGGACGGTGCTTCTAGAGTGAATATTTTAGCCTCTTAACACTTCTACTCACCCATGGGGAGAGTACACGTAGTGATCTGAGACGCGGACTTTTACTGAATGTTTGAAGGTATAAAACAAAATTTGAATGTCCATATGCATTAGTTAAGTCACCATTTATTAGATTACCACATATGAAATTACAAGCATTTGTCTTTGCATGTTTGTTTTAGAACACTACCTTTATGGAGTTGGTCATGGTTGTCAAAGGCAATAAAGAGTATGGTTACGTGCCAAAGCCGGTTCTCGCGCTAAGAAGCCACATGTACATTTGCAATTAGCCTAGCTAGCTGAAGACAATATATAAGAGGAATACAATGGAATATAATATAGAATGCTCTTTGTGAAGGGTAGACCCGCAAGGTCATATTTCAAGAGTCGTCTTGGCCCCTCTATACTCTGCCCCTTGTTTTGTCAATTGAGATGGGCAGAAAGAAAGTGATGTTTTTGAAGGGACCAAATTTCCAAATGTTAGTAGAAAAAAAAAAAAAACTACTATGTAAAAATAGAACATAAGGTCTGCATTTCACATGGGTCAAAGAACTACAGTTAGGCATGAACAAAAATGGAGTCCTCCTCCTTTTCCCCTACAAACCGCCAAAAAAACCTGTCTTCCCAACTTCGGCTCACCCATTCCCTACCATTGACTCTCTTTTCACTCCCACAACAACCATACAATGTATTTTAAGTTCCTTGATTCTCTCTTCCTCTCTTTTTGCTTGTAGATTTTTCTATATGTTGGGTCACATAATTGATTGCAACTCCTGTCCTCTTTCTATTTTCTATTCTTGACATTATTAGTGGAACTCTAATTTTAACGTGCAAAACTT